ACAAAACAATTTGTGACCCTGGACCACAAAACCAGTCATAAGGATTAATTTTTTGAAATTGAGGTTTATACAACATCTGAAAGCAGAATAAACAAGCTTTCCACTGATGTATGGTTTGTTAGGATAGGACAATATTTGGCCGAGATACCAACTATTTGAAAATCTGGAATCTGAGGGTGCAAAAAAATCTAAATATTGAGAAAATCGCCTTTAAAGTTGTTCAAATCAAGTTCTTAGCAATGCATATTACTAATCAAAAATTAAGTTTTGATATATTTATGGTAGGATATTTACAAAACATCTTCATGGAACATGATTTTTGGCATAAAAGAAAAATCAATAATTTTGACCCATACAATGTATTTTTGGCTATTGCTACAAATATACCCCAGAGACTTAAGACTGGTTTTGTGCTCCAGGGTCACATTTTGTTTGATTTTATACAGCTTTTGTAAATAGAATCACCTTTAATTTGTGTGAATATTTATACAAATTATTTATGTGTTTTTATCAACAAAACATGTTTTTTTTTATTTTATCATTGAGGACGGTTCCATGTGGTTTACTAACCATGGTAATAAAAATTTTACCACATAATCTTGTGTCGATTTATTGAGGGACTGGTCGTGGTGTAGGATCCTCAAAGGTTCAAGACTTTGTCATTTTCATAAACAATCTCGCCTTTGATTATGACATATCTGATGAGCTCCTGATGGCCCCCGAACTGGTAGACCAGATGTTCCCACCTGCAACAGAGGGAAAGATCCCAAATTCTAACATCCTCCTTATCAAGTCCCATCAAGCACTCCAAAACCTTAATCCAAACCTGTTTATCTGAATATTAATAACTGATTTTATAGTGTTATTTTATCATCATTGATATACTATTATAGTTTTATTCATATTTTTTATTAGATTTTATTTTTATATCTTCTGTTTTCACTCATTTTAATTCTTTTGTTGTGTTTTTGTCATTTTTATTTGTTTTGTTTTTTTAATACGTCAAGAGTTTTCATTCATTTTTATTTATTCGTTTAAGTTCAATTAATTTGAGATATTTTAGTACTTAGTTGAACTAAACAAAACTGAGAAATGTTGATTTGGCCACTAGCTGAAATAAAATACGTTTTTTTATGTTTAACTTTATTTCAGTTAATGTTTATTTTATTTCAAATAACATTTTATATTTTAGTTTTAATTAACTATAATAACCCTGTTTTGTATATTGAACTATTTTTATGCCTTATTCCAACAACTTGTGAACATAACTATTCAGCAGTTGCCCTCGAAGATCCCTAGGTACTGTATGGATATGATCTAACCGTGGTGCATTGATGATCACAAGGTCTCCCTGTTTCCCAATTTCAAGCGACCCATGCATATGTGAACGGTTGAGAGCGTAGGCTGCATTTATAGTACTTGCAGCCAAAGCTTCTGGCATAGACATCTTCATCAGCACACCGGCCATAGGCTAATAAACAAACAATGAAATTGAGTGGTCAGGTGAAATTTCTACTGATAACTTTTGTTCAGAAAAGTTTTGAGTCTTATGGTCACCATTGAGCAGCAGTAGGCATTGGGGTTGAAGTCACTGCCAAGAGCCACTATTACTCCTGCATCAAGCATATCTCTTGCACGTGGTGGAGAAAGCCTTCCACAGACACAAGGAGAATCAAATCCCTATTTTATGGGAAAGACAAGACACGGTCAGTCTGAGGGGTGAGCACATTATCATTGTGGCTATTTACTGTAATATATAGGCATTGATGGGCAGGAGGACCGCTGATGTTTTAGCTTTTGCCATCGCAGCAATTCCATCACCTGTCACTTCTTCTAAATGGCTGATGGCTAAAGCGTCAAGTTCTGCCCCAAGCTATTAGATTGGAGGACAAAGAGGAGACACAGATGGTTTAAGAACAACACCATTTGAACAGTCAAGTATGTGTGTGCAAGAAAGTTCTTATTTCTGTGAGGCAAAGCTGAATTTTCAGCATCATTACTCCAGTCTTCAGTGTCACATTATCCTTTAGAATCATGATTCTAATATGATGATTTAGCAGTAGAATCAATTTTAGGACTGTAAAAACATGATACAAAAATGTGTATAAACTACGTCTACATATTTTGTATTTAAAAAAAACAGTTTAGACCAGCTTTACATATGGTAAAATCTTTTTGTAAAGACTGTACTTGGGCACTGCGTGGGCGCCGCAGTATGTTGCTGATATCCCGATTGGCAGTGAGTTTGTGGCTGAATTGATCACCCTCAGCATCTTGACTTCAGTGTCCAGCTCAAGACCATATCCACTCTTACACTTTGGTTCCAGCTCTCATCATGTGCTCCAGACGGCTCTTTAAACCATCTAATAGTTGTCGTTCGGTTGCTGAGCAAGTATGTGTCATTGTGAAATGGATTCCACCTCCTGCTTCATGCACTTCCATATATCTGCACACACAACAGGGCACAATGATAATGCTTCATCACATGTGTTAAGATGCTTTGATGTTTAAGATACTCATTCAGATAACTTCTCTGACACCAAGACTTAAAGATATATTCATTCAATTTTAAAAAATGCAAGAGGAGAGATAGATGGACTTAAATGAGAGCAAAAACTTCATGGCAAATTCGTGCACTCTGTCTCCGGCCCATACTGGATGTGTGTGTGCATCAACCAGACCTGAAACATGTGAAGATTCTTTCAGCGTTTTTTTTTTTTTTAAGGAATTGTCAACAGAAATGGTCAAACTTTTTATTTTGGGTGGTAGATGTAACACTTACCAGGGAGAACACACATGCCAGATGCATCCAGAACACTGTCAAACTTTGCTCCGTTGAACTGAGACTCAATGATGTCTGCCGGTCCAACAGCTTTTATTAGTCCATCACTACACACAAACACACGGCTAAATGACATACTATATACTTTCTTTTTTTCTTTGAGGACGTCCCCAAGAGAGATTTTTCTCATTTCTATATTTCATTCATATACAGTTACTACAAAAACTAAGTATTCTATCCTAAACATAAACTTACTATAAGAAATGGCTTATTGTTAACAAAGATACAATAAATGTGACATATAAGATATGCTAACGAAAAATGAATGTTTGCCAAATGTTTATTTGCATGCTGAATTCATCACACAATGAATAAGTGAAGACTTACTGTCCAGTCAGCACACTGCCATTCTCAACGACAGCCAGCGTCTGCATCCCATCTCTGGTAAGATACTTTTCACCATTTCTACAAACTAAGACCACTTGTGTAGCACTCGACTAAAAGTCTGATACTGCTTGCAGACATTGTTAGGTTAACTGTGGTGCAAGTGATTCAGAGCAGAGCTCAGGGATAAAAGAGTGGGTAAATATTAAGCCAAGCCAAAACTGGGTAACTTGGATGAAGGTCGGAAAGGAGCTCAACTTTAGATTCAGCCGATTTAGAAACAAATGTTATCTTCGTTGTTTCTTCCTGCACAGCTTACTTATTTCAAATGATAATTGTGTAAATTACATAATACAGCAAAAATAATAGTTATAAAAAACTTATTTTACTAGTATTAGCTTCGCCTCACTTCATCACACACACAAAATGTAACCTTTGTTTTCAAACAACGCGTAAAGCATTGCACTAGTTACAATAACAGTAAGAAATGTTTCTCCTTCTCTTGTCAGTGTAATTTCCCAGAACAAATCTGTCTAAAACCGAATGTTTTAGTTTATTTAAAATAGCAGGAGTGACTACTGGGGAACAGAATATGATTTTACATCCTCAGAAAGATTAATACCAAACTGTATAGGCTAAATTAATATTGAGATAAAACATTAATACATGTACAGTTTACTTTAATTAGAAATGTCATTGATAATTAATTCAAATTGATAATTTAGAAAATTAGAAATACTCTTAAAGTGAACTTTAGCATTCATGAACCACTTTACTATATTCACTATTATTACCAAGTGAAACTTGATATTCATTGATAATGAAAAAGACACAGTCCTTCTGTACTTATCTGGATAATTGGTATTACCAGACTGTATATGGCATTAAAACTCAGAATTAAAGTTGGCTAAAACACGAAATCTCATTCAAAGTCAAACAATATTTTTCTTTGGAATAACATGCACTTATGAATTGTTGCATTAAGTAAATAGGGTCCATTATAATTTCATGTTGACTTTAAATATTACAGCCAGCCAAAGAAATGACAACAAAAAACATACAAACAGCACAATTTATTTGTCATTGTGCCACCAATAACTTTTACAGTGTAAAAAATAACTAACCATTTTACAAGGAAAAGAGACATAAAACTGAGACAAACTGCAAATAACCAATAAATCATCCAATCTGATTAGAAAAAGAAATCAAGTCACTCTTCATTCTCTCATCTCGCCATCTTCTTCCTCTTCTTCTACTCCTCTTATGTACAAAACATTATTACACCTTCAGAAAAAGTCAACAAAATCATTATTATTTAAAACTAAGAATGCATTTTCTGATATTACAGAGTTGTAAATTGAGTTTCATTTGAAAACCTTACCTGACGAGCACCTCACCAAGATGACCCGCTAATGCTCCATCCACATATTCTTCTGTGTTGGCCAGCTACATATAATCAGAGAAACAGAGCTCAATTAACCCATATGGACTACTGACAACGTTCTGCTTAACCTATAGCGATCAATATAAACAGATGCAAGCATGGATTTAAATTTAACTGGCTATCATGCACGTTGTGACCCGCTACTTTGCTATGGATATCGTATATGTAGCTGATCAAAACACCAGCATCAATGACTGATAGGTTTATAAACGTGAATTATAATCAGACATGCCTGCATGTTCATGTAGCCATCCACCGACACCAGGTAGCCCTTGTACTCCATACCCCACTTCAGCTTCACCATCACAGGCTTTCCCGTGAGGCCGTTCAGAAAGGGCTTGGGGTTCAGCGGCAAACTCTGCAGAAAAGAGTTCAGTGTTAGATATTAACTCTAAAAAAAAAATTAATAATAAAAATTATACACACATACATACATATATATATATATATATATATATATAAAATGAAATTTCATATCATATTTTGGAATCAATCCTAAAATATTCTAATAGGAATTCTTTCCAACATAAAGCAAAAACCTGAACTTTTCTATCACAGTCCCAAAGTAAGCCTGTCACGATAACAACTTTTTGTTGTGCGATATATTGCCCCAGAAATAATTGATATATATATATATATATATAATGAAATTTCATATCATATTTTGGAATCAATCCTAAAATATTCTAATAGGAATTCTTTCCAACATAAAGCAAAAGCAAAGCAAAAACCTGAACTTTTCTATCACAAAAGTAATACTTTTATACCCAATTATACTTACCCAAAGTAAGCCTGTCACGATAACAACTTTTTGTTGTGCGATATATTGCCCCAGAAATAATTGCGATAAGCGATATTATTGTAATTTTAAAGACCATTTTATGCCACTGAATATATAATCATAATGTAACAGCATAATAATGCAAGAAGGCCTACACACTTCCAAATGACAACAAACTTTTAATTTTTAAAGAATATTTAGATCATGGAGATTAAGTATCAAAATATTAGATACCTTAAAAAACCTGAATAAATAGTAAATATAAATTTTTTAACAAAAAGTGCAGAGTAACAAGTAGAAAAAAAAAGACAAATGCACTTGTATGGAGATTTTTCCCTGACCTTCTTTTCTCTGTAAATTAAAGGTGCACACTATTGCTGAAAAACAATCACTACTCAGCAGTCAGATGTCCGTATGCACAAAGGCACAGATCCCTAAACAAGGCCATATCTGCAGATGAAACTTTTTTTGCAGAAGCATTTTTTTAATTTTAACTAGCACCTCATAACTACACGTTATGTACGAGAAGCTGCAAAAGACACAGGCGCAAGTGGAATGGACAAAACATGGTGACATTAATTTTCAAGTAAATATAATGGGCGATATATTGCGTCAGCAAAAATGATTGAGGTCACGTACATATATTGCGCGATAAGTCGATATATTGATTATTGCGACAGGCCTAGTCCCAAGTAAGAATCGGTCCTAAAATTCTTCTGTGCGATATCACAAAGGAATTCATATTCCAATAAAAAATAACTGGTCAATGAGAAAGACATTATTGCAATTAAATACAGGGTTCTTATGAAGATTTTACTATATACACACGATACAATTTTATTCTTAAGAGAACACGTTCCTTCTCAACATGAACTTAAGGTTACCGTCTTATGGTATTCTTGTTGGATTCCACTAGAATTAGTTAGTTGCGAAATGAACAGAGAAATACAACACACAGACCCTTAAGATTTTCTCACAAGGAAACCAAGCGAGCTTTCTACACAGATAGCATTTTAAACACTATCTAGGCAGCTGACCAGGTTGTAACTACGATATCAGTGTTCCTAGCAAAACATCTGATCACTAACTTACTGAAAACAACGTCCAGTCTACGTTCCAGATGCTAACACGCAGCCGCATTATCAGTTCACTCATGAATGAAAACCACCTCGCTCTTTTACAAAACCTCAAATATTAAGCCAAAAGTAAAAGTTTGTTGAACTTACCATGACTAGACTGCCAAAGTAGTATTTCAGGAGAAATTTTTAATTTATTTAAATAGCATAGGCTACGGCAGCACACTCGCACGCCTTGCCGCCGATTGAGGGAAGGACTCCGAGCGCACTTTGACCGCACGGCGGGAGAGAAGAGCGCGACTGCTCACAGCGCCACACGCAGCACTGGCGTGTAATAGCACCATGTAAGCACAGTGGGCCTGGATGGATAGTCTGGAATGAAATAGAATGCCTTTTACTATTTTTGTATAATTAAGTACGTGCATTTCTCAGTACCTACATTTAAAAAATAAAGAAATGAATAAATAAAATGCATGCAGTTAGGTCTTGCGCAGTTGATTCATCTTCTATCTAAAGACTTGTCCTGCAGGGTTTTGCATTTCATTACCATTTATTCAAAAGAGGCCATATTTGAAATGTTTACATGGCTGACAGGATGGATTAGATATGCCAAAGGATTCTTTACCAGGTCTATTGGCTGAAAGGAGGTAGATAGATAGATAGATTGATAGATAGATAGATAGATAGATAGATAGATAGATCGAGAGAGAGATAGATAGATAGACAGAATCTATTAATTTACTGTGTGTACACTCTAAAAAATGCTGGGTTAAGTATAACCCAGCTCTGGGTTAAAAAGGGACAAACCCAGCCGCTGGGTCAAAACAACCCAATAGCTGGGGTTGTCCCTTTTTAACCCAGCGCTGGTTATACTTAACCCAGCATTTTTTAGAGTGTACCTTCAGCACAAAATAAACTCTATGTAGATGAGTTATATGAATTGTTCCAGTGATGTGTTGGGTACTTTGTAAATGAATCAAAGCTTAGCCAAGCTGCCTGAAAGCCCACACGGCGGATTAGAACGGAAATCTTTTGCAGATCCGCATTCCAGACAAGTACTTTTTCAGTATTTCAGAAAGTGACCGGTCTTTTATCCTTTACTACCTTCCTGTTGATCAATCTCGGCCTTCATCAAATCAGTATAGGCTACACTCTCTTTTCCTGTCAGCTGATTTCACAAGATTTACATCTCGAAATGCTTTGATATTTTAGTTACAGTAGGAATTTCATCATAATTTGGAACCAGTACTAATGAGATCAAACAAGCGTCATCCAAGAATCTTCTGACTATCAAATAAGATCTTAATAAATAAAACTGATAAACAGAACAATGTGAAACAGTGTCGTACAGAAAGCATAATGAAACATCAGAATGCTGAATGAAACAATGTTTGTCACAGTGTTCGAAATTACAGAATGCAGAATTACATTATGCTAATAATTATAACATTACTGTTTACTCTACATTGCTTTGTTAAACGACAGATTGCCTTATTAGAGTATATAAAACATTATGTTTAACATTGCCCGTATATTTGTCATTTTCAGGCATTTTCAATGTATTTTTTAACCTTCCCACTTTAAAAAAAAGGTTCTTTATTGGCATTGATGGTTTCAGGTGGAATTTTTCCGTTCTATGTTCTTTATAGAGGGTAAAAAAATGTTTTTTGTGCTCTTCAGAATGTTCTTCACACTTAGTAAAAAATTATTCTTTTAAGAACTGTTCACTGAAAGGTTATTGGGGGAACCAAAATGGTTATTCTAAAACATCGCTTCGAAACCCCCCTTTTGGAAAGTTTATTTTTTATAAACTATTATACGTAAATCATTACATGGGGCATTAAGACAAACTTCCATGTAATAATAACTGAATATAAAATGAGTGAAAATAATGATCAAAGATAACACAATTAGAGGAATTCATATGTTAAGAAAATGTAAAAGAAAAATGGCTCCTGAAGAGATTAAATGTGTTACATTTGGATAGAGTTAGTCTACAGTCTATAGTTAGCCTAATTAATAATATAAGTCGATAGAAAATGTCCATTTAGATAGCTAGACTAGGTAAACGTTTTCTAAAGTGAGAGAGGTGCAAAGAGAGAGCACATCCTGCGAGATCTGACGTTGAATGACTCAGACGACTCATGCCAGGAATGCTCCATTAAAACGAGAAAAATGCTGGAGAAGGGGCGTGGCCTCTGTTCTTCAAAGGTCCTGTCACTCAGGGGCCCCAGATTCCAGCTCAGGTGTTACAGAGCAGCACGCGCAGCCCCACGAGCCGCGCTCAGAGCAAAACACACGCACAACTCACTTCTACGCGAGCAGCGTGTCACCGGGGACAGAAGTGCCTCTGATAGACGCGTATTTGAGGTCACACACACACACACACACACACACACACACACACACACACCGATGGCGTTGTCGCGCGAGAGTTGTGTCCTATTTCAGGTGAATAGTTTCTGTTTGTTATGGGAGCAGATCACCTCCGCTCAGCGTTTGCGCACCTGGCCAACCCACGCCAATGAAGTCGTGCTCCTACATGCAATCTGAAAGGCTCTGGAGTGGAATCGGGTTCCCGTGCGTACTGTGGATTAAAACCCCTCGCGGGGTTCGATACGTGTAATTTGTGGCTTTTTTCTTGGACTGATGACTAATATGGAGCTGCCAGGGAGATGTGTGTTATTCGCAGCGCTCGTGATGAGCGTTCCTCACCCTGTGTCTTCAGGTCAGTGTTTTACGCATGCAAACTATTCACCCGCACGTGCGATCAAAACAGGTTAGCTGGTTGTCAACCAAACAGAGAGGCAAGGCGTCTGACGAACTGGTTGATATGGAGAGAAAGAGACGGGCATGATTTGAATATGCAAAACAAAAACAAACTTTGCATTAGCATACACACCCAACACCCAGATGTTGCTGAATCCAGCCCATAGGCATTCAGCAGATTGATACTACAATTGGAAGAGTTCAGATGCAAAAGCCTCTTAAGTGCCATTTGAATTTTTCACCTAAAATTAGCAATTTTGTCAGGCTCCTATGCTTAGGTTCAGAAATTTTACTTTAATGGCATTGTATAGGAGCCTCATAAAAATGCTCACTTTATAGTTAAATGTATGCATTTTATTGCATTTGGTTTAACTAATAAAGAAGTGATCTGCAAATAAATGATGCTAAATCCTCAGAATCTCGGAACTACACGTGTTTTTGCAGTTACTTTTTTTCCCCCCAAACTGCTTTTTAGGACAACTGTATCTTCAACTGTCATCAGTTGGAATGTGGGTCATTTAACGTTACCTTTTTTTGTACATTCAGGCAATATGTTTGTGTAATGTACTGTATTTTATAAGTGTGTGTGTGTTTTTTTTTTTTATGTGTACCAGGATGTGAGAATCGGGTGTGTAATCCACGCATGGGGAACCTGGCAGTCGGGCGTCCTGTACAGACAATTTCCCAGTGTGGCTCTGCCTCTCCAGAACAATACTGTACCCCTGACTACAAAATGAATAGATGTGTGTTGCATTGTGAGGTGTGTGATGCTTCAGTAACGCACCGTGCACACCCACCTGCGTCCATGACAGATTCACCCTTCAAACACCCACCGACCTGGTGGCAGTCTGCTCATGGTGTTTCCATAGAAACTCTACAGCTGGATTTGGAGGTGGAATTTTACTTCACCCACCTCATTATCATATTTCGGTCACCACGCCCTGCTGCCATGGCGATAGAGCACTCGCAGGACTTTGGGCGCACATGGAGCGCTCTGATGCTGTATGCCCACAACTGCAGTGAAGTGTTCAGCCTGGAGGATGGACAGAGCTGCTCTCAGAAATACTCCACAGCAGAGCCTTGCAGCAATGGAGAGGTGAGAGTGTGCGTACAGAATCTCACATTTCAGAGGAGGTGCATTTGAGAGATGCATTTTTGGGTGAATAATGATGATGATCTTCTTAAAGGATTAGTTTACCCAAAAAATGAAAATTTGCTCAAAGGCCTCGGGCCATCCAAGCTGTAGATGAGTTTGTTTCATCATCAGAAAAGATCTTGAGAAATTTAGCATTACATCACTTGCTACCAGTGAATCCTCTGCCGTGAATGGGTGCCGTCAGAATGAGAGTCCAAACAGCTGATAACAAACATCAAAATAATCCACAAGTAATACATATTTGTTTAGAACTATTTTGGTCTTGATCCGAGCATATTTTTCTCCTGATTCAGACAGGACAACTTTTTCACTGGAGAAAACAATATTATGGATATACCCGTATTTTGACCAAAAGCGACAGTTAAATGACTTAAATTTTTTTCTTACAAACATGCAGCTTTTCACTTAAAAATGGATTGACTGGGATTGTGAGGAATATACTTTTTTTCGTTACTTTTGGAATTTGTTTTTAATTATCAGCTGTTTGGACTCTCATTCTGACGGCACCCATTCACTGCAGAGGATCCAGTGGTGAGCAAGTGATGTAATGCTAAATTTCTCCAAATCTGTTCAGATGAAGAAATATACTTGTCTACATGTTGGATGGCCTGAGGGTGAGTATATTTTCATTTTTGGGTAAACTAGAAAAACATTTAAATGAGATTACTCATGACTTTTCAACAAATTTTTGTTAACCTGACTGCATTAAGTTGCACACATTTTTAGCCTTTTATAGTGTTCAATTCGCAGTCCTAATAACTAGTACTTAGATTAAAAAAAAAAATGAAAACAGTTAGCTCATTACTAAGTAAATTAATGTTTGTTTATTTATTTATTTCTGTGTGAGCAGGTAATTTACCGTGCTCTGTCACCCTGGGACAAACTGGATCCGTACAGCGTTGATGCCCGAGCCCACCTTGGCATCACTAACATACGGATACGTCTGCTTCAGCCGCAGTCCTGCTTCTGTCAACAAAAACTTCCTGATGCCAATGTGCTCACTGCACACTATGCCATCTATGACCTCATTTTAAAGGGGGGCTGTTTGTGCCATGGACATGCAGACCAGTGTGTGCCTGCTGGTGACCAACAGATCACACACCCTCCTGTTAAACACATGGTAAGTGTATAGTTGTAATACAGAGTCATTATTTTTTACATACTGTATGCTTACACATCATGGTATGAAACAAGATTTAGTTTTGATAAATATAAACTCTACATCATCTACATGGTGTTTCAAACCTGTCTTTTTTTACTGAACACACAAATATTTTGAAAAAAAATAAAAGCCCCCCCATACAGTGAAAGTCATTGGGGCCCAATGTAATTTTGGACCAGGGTTTAGTATTTATATACTAGTTTAGTTTTTGTTAATATTTTGTATTAACTTTTTATTTTTTCATTTTAATTTAGTTAAAATTTTAGTATATATTATTTGTATCATGTTTATAGTATTTTTTTAAATGTCTAATTAGCTTTAATTAATTTGGTTTAATAATTTCTGGAATTTGGCTTCAACTTAAGTTAGTTGCCAAGACAGCATTTCTAATTCTCATTAAAGTTTAGGTTTTTTAATCTATTATTTATCTTTTATTTTATTTCTGTTTTA